TCTCCATCTCCCTGTCTCTCCCCTCTACCATATCTCTCACCATGTCTCTCTAGCTAACGTTAAATTATCCTAACCTAATATAATCTATTTTTTGTTTTTTTTTACCTACTATTTTTAGCTAACTTGTTTATTTTACCTTAATGTTATAACCTCGCACCTTATTTTACTAACCTAGCTAACCTTGTTAACCTAACGCTAATATATTATAACCTAACGCTAACCTTGTTATTTAACCTAACGCTAACCTTTATTATAACCTAACGCTTTTTAAACGCTAATTTACCTGCTTTTACCTACTTTTTACCTCTTTTTTACCTCACTTTTAACCTTTTTACCTCTTTATAACGCTAACTTTCTTTTTTAACAACGCTAATATTTACTTAACCTAACGCTAACTTTTAAGTCTTAACTATACCTTTACGCATTATACTATTATTTAACCTAACGCTAACCTTATATTACAACCTAACGCTAACCTTGTTATTTTAACCTAACGCTAACCTTATATTATAACCTAACGCTAACCTTGTTTATTTAACCTAACGCTAACATATTATAACCTAACGCTAACCATAGTTAACCCAACGCTAACCTTATTACTTAACCTAACGCTAACCTGCGTTAACTAACCTAACGCTAAACTTAGGTTACTTTAACCTAACGCTAACCTTGTTATTTAACCCAACGCTAACCTTATATTACTTAACCTAACGCTAACCTATATTACTTTCTAACCCAACGCTAACCTTATATTACTTAACCTAACGCTAACCTTTGTTATTTAACCTAACGCTAACCTTATATTACTTAACCTAACGCTAACCTTATTATTTCTTAACCTAAACGCCAACTCTTATATTACTAACTTAACGCTAACCTTATATTACTTTAAATCGCAACGCTAACCTTTTGTTATTTAACCAACGCTAACCTTATAATACTTAACCTAACGCTAACCCTGTTATTTAACCCACCAACGCTAACCTTTATATTACTTAACCTAACGCTAACCTTTGTTATTTAAACTAACGCTAACCTTATATTACTTAACCTAACGCTAACCTTATATTACTTAACCTAACGCTAACCTTATATTACTTCTAACCTAACGCTAACCTTGTTATTTAACCTAACGCCAACCTTATACTACTTAACCTAACGCTAACCTTATATTATTTCTTAACCTAACGCTAACCTTTATATTATTTAACCTAACGCTAACCTTTATATTACTTTAACCCAACGCCATAGCCTTTGTTATTTCAACCTAACGCCAAATCTATATTACTTAACCAACGATAACCTTTTATATTAGCTAACCTAATCGCTAACTTTATATTACTTAACCAACGCTAACCTTATATTATTTAACTCAATGCCAACTTTATATTACGTAACCCAACGCTAACCTTATAATACTTCCTAACCTAACGCTATCCTTGTTATTAACCCAACGTTAACCTTATATTACTTAACCTAACGCTAACCTTGTTATTTAAACTCAACGCTAACCTTATACTACTTAACCTAACGCTAACCTTATATTACTTAACCTAACGCTAACCTTATATTACTTAACCTAACGCTAACTCTTATATTACTTAACCTAACGCTAACCTTTATATTATTTAACCTAACGCTAACCTTTATATTACTAACTAACGCCAACCTGGTATTAGCTTAACCTAACGCTAACCTTTATACTACTTTAAACCTTAACGCTAACCTTATATTATTTAACTCAATCGCCAACTCCATACATTGAACCCTAACGCTAACTCTTATATTACTTAACTCAACGCTAACCTTGTTATTAACCTAACGCTAACCTTTATATTATTTAACCAACGCTAACCTTATATTACTTTCGTTAATCCCAATGCCAACTTTGTTATTTAACCTAACGCTAACCTTATATTACTTAACTAACGCTAACCTTATATTAATACGACCCAATCGCCAACCTTTTATATTACTTAACCTAACGCTAACCTTTATATTACTTAACCCAACGCTAACCTTATACCACTTAACCCAACGCTAACCTTCATATTACTTAAATCAACGCTAAACCTTATATTACTTAAATCCAACGCGAACCTTATATTACTTAACTAACGCTAACTCTTATATTACTTAACCTAACGCTAACCTTATTCTACTCTAACCTAACGCTAACCTTGTTACTTAACCTAACGCTAACCTTGTTACTTAACCTAATGCCAACCTTATATTACTTAACCTAACGCTAACCTTGTTACTTAACCTAACGCTAACCTTGTTATTTAACCCAACGCTAACCTTATATTACTTAACCGTAACGCTAACCTTGTTAGTTTAACCAACGCTAACCTTGTTACTTTAACCTAACGCTAACCTTTATATAACTTAACCTAACGCTAACCTTGTCACTTAACCTAACGCTAACCTTATACTACTTAACCTAACGCTAACCTTTTATATTACTTTTAACCTAACGCTAACCTTATTACTTAACCTAACGCTAACCTTATATTATTTAACCTAACACCAACCTTGTTATTAACCGAACGCTAACCTTATTGTCCCACCGCCAACCTTAGTACTACTTAACCTAACGCTAACCTTATATTACTTAACCTAACGCTTTCAACCTTGTTACTTAACCTAACGCTAACCTTATATTACTTAACCTAACGCTAACCTTATATTACTTTAACCTAACGCCAACCTGTTATTTAACCTAACGCTAACCTTATACTACTTAACCCAACGCTAACCTTGTCAATTTCAACCTAACGCTAACCTTATACTACTTAACCTAACGCTAACCTCCTTATATTACGAACAACGCCAACTCATATTATTATTTAACCTAACGCTAACCTTATTATTTAACCTAACGCTAACCCTTGTTATTTTAAACTCAGCGCCAACCTTATACCACTAACTTCAACGCTAACCTTGTTACTTAACCCAACGCTAACCTTATACTACTTAACCCAATGCCAACCTTATATTACTTAACCAATGCCAACTTGTTATTTAAGAATCCTAACACTAACCTTATATTATTTAAACCAACGCTAACCTTGTTATTTAACCTAACGCTAACCTTATATTATCAACCTAACGCTAACCTTTGTTATTTAACCTAACGCTTAACCTTATATTACTTAACCTAACGCTAACCTTTATATTACTTAACCTAACGCTAACCTTATATTACTTAACCTAACGCTAACCTTGTTATTTAACCCTAACGCTATCCTTATATTATCAACGAACGCTAACCTTATACTACTTAACCTAACGCTAACCTTATACTACTTAACCTAACGCTAACCTTGTTATTTAACCCAACGCTAACCTTATATTACTTAACCTAACGCTAACCTTATATTTAAACCTAACGCTAACCTGGTATTACTTTCTAACCTAACGCTAACCTTATACCACTTAACCTAACGCTAACCTTGTTATTTAACCTAACGCTAACCTTTATATTACTAACCTAACGCTAACCTTTATATTATTTAACCTAACGCTAACCTTGTTATTTAATCCTAACGCTAGCCTTATATTACTTAACCTAACGCTAACCTTTTATATTATTTAACCTAACGCTAACCTTTATATTACTTAACCTACTAACCTTATATTTAACCCAATGCTAACCTATATTACTTAACCCAATTAACCTTATATATTATTTAATCCCTTAATGCTAACTCTGAGTATTACTTAAACTTAACGCTAACCTTATATTACTTAACTCAATCGCTAACCTTGTTATTTAACCTAACGCTAACCTTTTTTATATTATTTAACCTAACGCTAAACGTATATTACTTAACCTAACGCTAACCTTGTTATTTAACCTAACACTAACCTTATATTACTTAACCTAACGCGAACCTTGTTATTTAACCTAACGCTAACCTTAATTACTTAACCTAACGCTAACCTTTGTTATTTAACCTAACGCTAACCTTATACTATCCTAACGTATTAACCTTATATTACTTAACCTAACGCTAACCTTATATTACTTAACCTAACGCCAACTTTGTTATTTAACCCAATGCCAACCTTATACTACTTAACCTAACGCTAACCTTATATTACTTAACCTAACGCTAACCTTATATTACTTAACCTAACGCTAACCTTGTTATTTAACCTAACGCTAACCTTATACTACTTCACCTAACGCTAACCTTATATTACTTAACCTAACGCTAACCTTATACTACTTAACCTAACGCTAACCTTATATTACTTAACCTAACGCTGACCTTGTTATTTAACCTAACGCTAACCTTATATTACTTAACCTAACGCTAACCTTATACTACTTAACCTAACGCTAACCTTATATTACTTAACCTAACGCTAACCTTATATTACTTAACCTAACACTAACCTTATACTACTTAACCTAACGCTAACCTTATATTACTTAACCTAACGCTAACCTTATATTACCTAACCTAACCTAATCTTATATTACCTAACCTAACGCTAACCTTAATTAACTTAACCTAGCGATAATGTCTGCCAGGTGAAATAATTAAGTTGTTCAGGTGATCCACAAACTACACAGGCCTCTTGGTTCACGGGAGGCGGCGGCTCTTTACGCCCAAATTATTACCGGTACTATTCGTGTATGTCTTGACCTATTATAGTATTTTGAACCTTCCTAACCGTCACTGTGACTATTAGTGAGGTTGTCTACTATCTTGTTCTACTCATCTCCAATTCTGTTTTCGTTGTTCATCTGTTTGTTTTTTATATCATGTTTATGTTTGACTCTCTACCGAATCACCTGTTGCGTGTGACCACCGCCAACACCTAAGCTGCGGGTGATTGTAACTTGAGGAACAACATACCAACTTGTGACACTCACTATACCCTTTTGTGAGTGACACTGACCTCTGCGTATGGCACTGACCCGGAGCGTGATAGTACCTTACCCTCACGTAAAGTGGGGGAGTCAACATGGGCGGAGCTACACTCACCTGAATGTGTTCTAGGAGGGAGCAGGCAGGGTCGAGGGTGAGGTTACACTCCCGCCAACGGCACACATCGGCCGCCTCCTTCTTCTCGGGAGGGGGGAAGCGGACTGTGGGCGTTGGCGTGGAGGTGCCCGAGCTGGGAGCGGAGGACCCTGCACCAGAGCTGGCAGAGCTGCTTCTGCTCTTGCTGGTGCAGGGGCTGGTGTGAGCGGGCGGAGGAGACGACTTGGCCGAGCACCGGGCAGCCGTGGGGGATAAGGGAGGCTGGTGTGCGGCCCTGGGGGAAAGGGTGGGCGGCGTGAGGCCGACATCACAGCTCAAAGTTAAGCCCTGAGTTGGGTGAGGGATTCCCTGAGTTGCACGCTTAGCGGCAGTGGGCGAGTGGCCGCCAGTATGGGGGAGGGCTTCACTGTGGGTGAGTTTGGTGGGTGTGGCCGGCAGTAAGGAAGGCGTCTCTATGTTGTTGTTGGTGTGGTGCTCCAACTTCCTCCTGTATTCATCACTCACCACTCGCCGTACACCGTTCACCCGTTCTGGCCGTACTGTGCCGTTAACTCGTCCGTTTACACTACCATTAAAACACTTAATGCCATTTTTACCTAAAAGGTGTCCTACACCGTTCTGTAAAGAGTCTTTTGTAACACCATTGTTTCTATGGTTGTTGTTGGGTCGTGGGCGCTTCTCCCCCGTCCCCGGCAGCCCCGTCAGCCGGTGCAGGAGGGCAGCCGCCTCTCCGTTTACGCCGCCATTGACACAGCCATTGAGGCGTCGCACGCCGTTTACTGGCGACGGTGGCGGCGAGGCCCTCGGTAACTTGGTAAGTCTTTCCGCGCCCATACCGATCTCATCCCCCGACCGCTTGCGGACGTGGCCAACCTGGACCCGGCGGCGGCGGTGAGCGGCGTCGTGAGGGGCGGTGCGGCGTGTGGCCCGCACTGGGAGGTGGGCGGTGTCCGGCGGGCGGTCCTTGTGTGGAGTGTGGCCCACTTGGCCTCCAGGGCCAAACCTGCCCATCAGCTGGTCGCCGTCGTGACCACCCTTCCGCCCCATCCGCACGCCCGACCCATCATTGGGCGCCATGCACGTCAACTGATGCACATTGTGGGCAGCAGGTGGCGGGGGCGTGGTGTGATCTGCCCCTGGCGTGGGCGTGGGATGGGAGGAAAGGAGGGGGGTGGTGCCGGGGCAGCAGTCGTCGAGGTCCTCAGGGCGGGGCGGTGGTGAGCTCGTCAGTGAGGAGCACGGTGAGGACGCGCTCCACTCTCCTCCAACACCACTGAAACAACAAGAAACAAACACATTATCTTCAGTTCACAGTAACACACAACTAACAGCAACATAAACACAGTGTTAGTGGCGGAGCAACACACAAGGTGGTGAGATGTGTGGTGGTGGTGGAGGGGTACAGTGTGTGGTAGTGGACGCTTCAGCCACAATGACACGCCTCGTTACCTCCACCACCACATCTGCTCCACTTCCGCCGGAACTGTTGGCCCTCAACCTCACAGTCTTCACCTGCCCCACCATACATGATATAATTTTAGCCAAAACAAATCTAATATAGGAAGTTATCAATGCAGGAAGAGATGGAACAAAGAGAGAGAGGGCAGGAGAGGGTGCAGGAGAACTGAGAGGGTGTTGGAGAAGAGAGGAAGGAGGTGGGTGTTGGAGAGGGAGGTGTTGAAGAGGAAGGGAGGTGTTGGAGAGAGAGAGAGGGAAGGAGGAGGGTGTTGAGAGAGAGGGAGGGTGTTGGAGAGAGAGAGGAAGGGAGGAGGGTGTTGGAGAGAGAGAGAGGAAGGAGGAGGGTGTTGGAGAGAAGGAAGGAGGAGGTGTTGGAGAGAGGAAGGGGAGGAGGTGTTGGAGAGAGAGAGGAAGGGAGGTGTTGGAGAAGGAGGTGTTGGAGAGGGAAGGGAGGAGGGAGTGTTGGAGAGAGGGAAGGGAGGAGGGTGTTGGAGAGAGAGAGAGGAAGGGAGGAGAAGTGTTGAAGAGGAAGGAGGAGGGTGTTGGAGAAGAGGTGGGTGTTGGAGAGAGGAAGGAGAGGAGTGTTGGAGAGAGAAGGGAGGAGAAAGTGTTGGAGAGAGAAGAAGGAAAGAGTGTTGGAAAGAAATTGGAGAGAGGAAGAGGAGGAGGGTGTTGGAGAGAGAGGGAAGGGAGGAGGTGTGTTGGAGAGAGAGGAAGGGGAGGAGGTTGGAGAGAGAGAGGAAGGAGGAGGGTGTGTTGGAGAGAGAGAGGAAGGGAGGAGGGTGTTGGAGAGAGAGGAAGGGAGGAGGGTGTTGGAGAGAGAAGGGAAGGGAGGTGGGTGTTGGAGAGAGGAAGGGAGGAGGGTGTTGGAGAGAGAGGGAAGGAGACAACAGAACACGGCGCTAATAAACACAGGAACAGGGCGAGGAGAGTGGACAATTATCTCACTCCTCTCACCCAGTAGCTCTGGATCCCCTCCAGAAACACACACACACACACACACACACACACACACACACACACACACACACACACACACACACACACACCACTATCACAACCACCAACACAACAACCCCCCCCTCCTCCTCTCTCGGAAAATCCCAACAAGCTGAGCACGATCCACCTGTACTAGAGGAGGAAGAGGAGGAAGAAGAAGAGGAGCAAGAGGAAGGGGGGGAAGAAGAGGAGGAAGAGGAAGAAGAGGAGGAAGAGGAAGAAGAGGAGGAAGAGGAAAGGGAGGAAGAAGAAGAGAGAGAAGAAGAGGAGGAAGAAGAAGAGGAGGAAGAGGAAGGGGAGGAAGAAGAAGGGGAGGAAGAAGAAGGGGAGGAAGAAGAAGAGGAGGAAGGTGAAGAGGAGGAAGGTGAAGAGGAGGATTTATCTCACTGCTCACCCTACGGATCTTACTATTCATATTTCACTATCCTCTTTGAGTCTTGTCTTCACCTCACCTGGCATACCATTAATCATACATACATACATACAAACGTACACACATACATACATACATACATATACACACACATATACATACATACATACAACTTATCTGTTCACCCAATTATGACAGACCAACAAGTCGCCACTACCACGCCATCATTACCTCCCCGTAGATAACCTAGATACGTGTAATGGGAATTGGCCAAGAGAAGGAGGCCATTTAACAACACCTTCTATGGCCCCTGAGAACGTGTAAATTCATTCTCCTTTGACCTAACCTAACCTAACTTGACCTGACCTGGCCTAACACGTAACACCAACTCCCCCTTTCCTTGGTTGTGGTCCTCGTGATGATGATAAACTCTGACCGGGTCCATAAAAATTCCCTTGAAACTTCAGATAAAAAATTCCTAACACCACCTCATTTCTCCCTCACCTACCCCTCCTCCTCCCTTTCATTTCTCCCTCACCTACCCCTCCTCCTCCCTTTCATTTCTCCCTCACCCACCTCCTCCTCCTCATTCTCCCTACCTCATCTCCTCCCTAGCCTCACCTACTCCTCCCATCTCACCCACCCTCCTCCCTCATATTTCTCCCCACCCACCCCTCCCCCATTCTCCCTCACCCACCCTCCTCCCTTCATTCTCCTCACCCACCTCCTCCTCCTCCTTCATTTCCTCCTCACCCACCCTCCTCCTCCCCATTTCTCCCTCACCACCTCCTCCTCCCATTTCTCCTCACCACCCTCCTCCCTTTCATTTCTCCCTCACCTACCCCTCCTCCTCCCTTTCATTTCTCCCTCACCTGCCCCTCCTCCTCCCTTTCATTTCTCCCTCACCTACCCCTCCTCCTTCCTTTCATTTCTCCCTCACCTACCCCTCCACCCTCCCCAGGTCTTGGAATCAACGTCATAGAGGGAGTCGACTATTTTCCACCAAGGAGACTGACTGATTGTGTTCGGGGATCTATCGCGTGTGTGACTACTAGGGAACGTATTTACCCAGGTGTGTATGGGAGGGTGGGGGGGGAGTCCTCACCACCTGTTGGTCTGGGTGATACTTGAGGTGCAGGTAACATTATAACGAGACAGTACAGGTGTATTTAGAGAACAGGTGTAGGCGTAACACCACACACACACCTTCCGTGTTTAGCCTTGAAGATAAAAGATCAATAGAGGGTACAGAGTGAGATAGTGTGAGGGACTATCTTCTCACCCCCTCCAAGGTAACCCCCCACCCCTCTATCTATCTCACCTGTAACTATTCAATCTCTCTTCACTCCCCCTCACCCCCCATGGCCCCAGCATCTCCCTCTCCGCCTCATCTGTAACAACTCTCTCACTTGTCTCCGACTCTCTTCACTCTCCTCTTGTCACCAGGTCATGTCCTCGACTTCTTCCTCTTGACCCAAAAACCTAATCCAGGGCTGAACGTCACGCCAAGACCCTCTACCTACCTACCACTGTGTGTGTGTGTCTGTGTGTCCCTCGTCACCAGCTCCCTACTTGTCTATCAACCTCAAGTGCTTCACCTTTACCGCCACCGCCAGCACCCGACAAGTCACGCCAAATGCAAATTATGACTAATGCACTTCCGGCGAGCATGAATAATGGAGGTTCGGCGGCGGCTGGTGTATGACACGCTCACGACACACATCACCTGGCAACTGTGAAGGCCGTCACCACAACAAACCCCAGGATTACTTCATGACACACACACACACACACACACACACACGCGCGCGCGCGTGATAACGTGGTTTTTCACCACCTGAAACCCTGGAAGGTCCTCTCCTTCAACTAGCCAGCTGGGTCTTCTTTCACCTTCTCCTCCTCCTCCTCCTCCTCTTAGCTCGTCCTCATCAGAAACAGTAAACAAGCCGTGGCATCAAGACACATTGCCCGGTAGAAGCCCCAATACAGGTGATATAAAAGTTAAGTAAGGTAAGGTAAAGTCAGATAAGGTAAGGTAAGGTAAGGTAAGGTAGGTAAGGTGAGGTTAAGTTAGGTTAGCACCAGTACACCAACACTACACTCGACCCTCTTACTGACACTATCCCACACACCTACCATACCGGTATCAATTATTCAGTTTTAGGTACATATCGTTATTCCTGCAAGACGACGATATGAGGAGGGGAGGATCAAGGGGGAGGAATGGGTCAAGGGGAAGAGGAGGGGTTGAGGGGAAGGGAGGGGTTGAGAGGGAGGAGATGAAGAGGGTTGGAGGAGCAGAAGGTTGAAAGGGATGGGGGGGAGGAGGTGGAGAGGGATCGAGGAGGATGAGGAGGGTCAACAGGAGGTGAGGGGTCGAGGAGAGAGAAGGAGGTGGTGAGAGAGGTACAGGATGCGTGTCAAGGCAGTATACACTGGACTCAGCAGCAGGTACAGGAGAGGCACAGTATAACAGGGAAGAAGAAGAAAGAAGAAGGAAGAAGAAGTGGTTTGCAGGAGTATAAATGAGGAGTTCAAATAGGGGTGGATACTGTGTGTGTGTGTGTGTGTGTGTGTGTGTGTGTGTGTGTGTGTGTGTGTGTGTGTGTGTGTGTGTGTGATAACCACCAGACATCAGCCTGACCTCAGACATGACCCTACAGCATACAAACAACAAATGAATGAATGAACGAGAGTAATATACCAGGATTGATTCAACAAAAGCCGGAAGGAGAGAAGGAGAGAGAGAGAGAGAGAGAGAGAGATATATATGACTGACAATGTAAATCCAACACACACACACACACACACACACACACACGTGGTGAGTGTGTGTAATTATTCCATGTCTGGTACAACCTGCCCCATCACACGCCACCCACTGTCATACAGCCAGCCAGGCATCAGTTACACTCAAACACCTTGATGTCAAGTAATTTAACCCTAACTCTCATCACCCTGACTTTAACTACCTAATTCCACCTAACTACCTAACCTAACTTGACCTACAGCACAGAGCAAGCAAGGTCGAGTGTGTGGTGGGTGAAGGAGGTCGAGGTGTGTGGGTAGGTGAGGGGGGGTCGAGTGTGTGGAGGGTCGAGTGTGTGTGTGGTGGGTGAGGGAGGGTCGAGTGTGTGGTGGGTGAGGGAGGGTCGAGGTGTGGTGGGTGAGGGAGGTCAGTGTGTGGTGGGTTGAGGGAGGGTCGAGGTGGTGGTGGGTGAGGGAGGGGTGAGGGTAGGGGTGAGGGAGAGTTGAGTGTGTGGTGGGGTGGTGAGGGTCGGGTGTGTGGTGGGGTGGAGTGAGGGTCGAGTGTGTGTGTGGTGGTGTGAGAGTCGAGTGTGTGGTGGGGTGAGGGAGAGTCGTGTGTGGTGGGTGAGGGAGGGTCGAGGTGTGTGTGGTGTGTGGGTGAGAGTCGAGTGTGTGGTGGGTGGGGAGAGCCGAGT